ATTCAGAGACTGGATTCTAGACCTGCCTTTGCCCCCGGCTCCCTCTCTGACCTTGGACATGGTGCTTACCTTTTCTAGGCCTCAGTTTCCACATCTGTGCCATAAGGGGCTGGAGTCAGAGCAGGGATTTCAAAGGAGGGCGGTGCCTTGACACTGGCACAGCTGAGGCCTCCAGCTTCAACATGGCAGCCTGTCTCTGGGCTTACATGTTGGCCTTCCGTTGAGGTTTTATGTGAAGAAAGTATTCTGTGGTGGCAGTATGAATGCCAATGGCCTTCTGGCTTTTTTTTTTTTTTTTTTTTTAACAATTCTGAAGTCCATCATTTGCTCCTAAGTGTTGCTTAAAGGACTCTAGGAGAGATGGAGGGCTGTTTTGTCGACAGCTTGACAGTGCTACACTCTTATTGGTGCTTTTGACCAGTGATGATACTTGGGTCTTTATTTCCTTCCATGATGTCTTCTGGTCAGCCCTTTTCTACTCTTTCCATAGATTTTGTCAGAATTCTCCAAGAATAGGCCTTGGTATTCTTTTCTTTGGGAATGAACCCTACAAAATTCAAGCTGTTCAGGCCACTGTGGTGACTGGCACTGACCTCTTCAGCTGAGCATTTGGCATTTTTCATTCTCATCTCTTTCCTTCCCAGAAACTCTTGAGGAGAAGTCAGATTTCAGGCTGTGGCTCTTGGAACTTAATTCAATGCTTCCCCTCTTGACATTAGATTGCAGTTGGGATCCATAGTCTATAGGTTGTGAGGTAAGTCAGCAAGGATCTCAGGCACTCTTTTCCTGACTCTACCATGAACTAACTTGACCTTAGGGAAGTCACTGACCTTCTCCAAGTCTCAGTTTACCCATTTGCACAATGAGGAACTTGGACTAGAGGTTGTCTTAGGAGTTCTTTATGCTCTAACATTCAGAGATTCCATGTGATGTAAGTTACTTTCCCCTCTGACAAGAGCAATTGTATTATTAAAAGAGAAAGAGGAAGAGTCCTGGCCCATGCGTGGATGTCCATTGTTCCATGATTCACATGGGGAGGGCGTGAGACCCCCATCCTATTTTACCAACTTGGGGTAGTGGTTGAGGGGAGTCGGTAAATAATTTGTTGGGTGCCTTGATGGGAAGGGGAGCCTTGATGAGGCTGACTGGCATTGTCATGCCTTCTCTCCCCCAGCCAGTTCTGGGGGACATGCTGACCTTTTGGTGGTAGATTGGTCCCTTCTTGCAGAGGAAAAAAAGTGACCCGTTCTTCAGGTGCCTGATATTTCATGTTAACTCTTCTTGCTCCAATTGAAACACAGGGTTCAGAGCATTGGGTATTTATAGAAAGAGAGTACACTAGGCCAGAAGAACTCAGCCTCCTAAAAGTGACCACCACTCAGCAGGAAGAAAGTAAGGCAGGCCTCGCAGATATCCTTGCTGATGGCAGACTCTCCAAGGTAGACGTCCTGGTGGACAAGTTCAAAGTCGAAGTGGCCACAGAAGAAATAGTGGGAGTTAGAAGAGCAAAGACCCAGCACCAAGGAAGAATGATTGCAAGCCCTGAAGACTTTGAGGCAATGTGGGAGGAGGGCCCCTGGGTCAGGAAAGGCCCAGAAGGGGCTTCTCTTGCTGCAGGCTGTGCACTGGCAGGAAACCTCCTTGAGGGCTCCCATTTGAGGGTGGGCACTGGGGAGGCCACCATCAAGAAGCGCTGGATCTCAGGTGGTCAGCTGGAGGGCCAGATGGAGCTGAGGAAGGAGCTGGAGGAGTTCCAGACTTGGGGAAGACCTGCTGCCTCGGGGACCAGGCTAGCAGAGGCCAATGTCCCTTCTCCAGCCTCCGACAAGGGAGGACTCCAGTCGTTTCTGCTGGACCCAGCCCAGTTGGAAGCCAGAGCTGACTCGAGTGATGAAACCGAACCTTCCTTTGCGGAGAGGAGCTTCTATTTGAACTATGGAGAGAAAGATTCTGAAGACCCACCTGTGGAGGAGAGGGAAGAGCACATGGATGCCCTTCCTGTTGACGAGACCAGGCTGGGGCGCTCAGAGAGGCTCCCGGAGAGCTCTGTGCTCACTTCCTCAGACCCACAGGGCCTTGCTGCAGCTTCCAGCAGGAGCAAGGACGAAGAGGGTGATGGCCATATGGCCTCCTTAGAGGAAGGGGCATGGTCCCCCAGGGACCACGGAAGACCAGATGGCCCAGAGGCCTTTGTTGAGCAGCTTGGTAAGGGACCTTCTCCAGGGCAGACATTTGCTGAGGACTGGGAAGAAGCTGGGCGGGGGGTGGAAGGAGAATTTAGCCACCCAGCATGCAACCTAGGCACAGAGGAAGAGGCCCCCAAGGGTGGAGATTTGATGGAAAAGGCTGAGAAAAGTTCCCCAGCAAGATGGCAGAACCACTCACCTCACAGAGAAGGGGGCATGCGCCTAGACCTCCCAGCCTGCGCCCTTCCGTGGACCACCCCTCCTAATGATGTCAGGAAGCCAACCAAGCCAGACAGAGCCAACTTCCTGCCCCAAGACAGGCGACTGGTGCACATCCCAACAGGAGAACCTGCGATGGAGGACAGAAAGGCCTCAGTGTTTCTTCAGATGGAAGTGATCGCCCCCCTCCCAGCTTCCCCTGATCCCTTTCAAGCTCAGGCAGCTCCGGAGGAAACTTCTCCAAGCCCAGCCCCTCGTGGGTCAGGGGAGCCTCCACAGCTTGGGGATCCTTTTGGAGAACAGTCCGCTGTGTTTCTCAAGCATGCCCATCCTTTTAAAGGGAGCCCAGAGCCCAAGGACCGAGTAGGACTGTCTGTGACCCCAGATGGAGGTGAGCGCCGGGCACCTCCCATTGCCAGCAGAAAGCCCAGACTTGTCTCTGAAGAAGCCAAGGGGGCTGTACCCCTGGGGTTGGTGTTCCCTTCAGGGAAGCAAAAGGGGATGACCTCTTTCCAGGCTGGGGGCCAAGAGGGCTCCCTGGAAGATATTAGCAAGACCTCAGTGGCCAACAAAATTCGGATCTTTGAGACCCATGGAGCTGAAGCTCGCCGAGCGAGTCAAGGTGAAACAAGGGCCCTCATGAGCGAGTTGTCTTCAGAGGCCTCCGTGGGTCAGGTAGAGCAACAGCGGAATAAGCTTCTGGACCTGGGCTTCGTCCAGCTCCAGTCCCCAGGGGACTTTGCTGGCCCCAAAGCCACCCATTCCTCAGTGACGTCGCTGGCTCCCAGACACTTCAGGGTGGGCATTGCTACCACATCCCCCCAGGAAGAATGCACGGACCTCGAGCTCATGTCCCCTGATTCGGGCTGCGAAACTGCGCTGGAGGAAACCACCGGGGGCACTGGCCACGTGAGCCCCCGCCCCCACCACTGCCCCTCCCCCGCTGGGGGAGCCGACCGCATGCTCCGTAGCTCTGTAGAAGCATGTTTCAGGGGCCCCTCGTCATCACTGCGATCAGAGGCTGCTTGTCCATTCCTATGAGTTCTCTTCCCTACACAGGCCCGAGGGTAGCCCGGGCGGAATGACGGGTTCATCTGCTTGGCCCCTGTTAGCTTAGCCACAGAGACCCTCGGCTTTTGGTGTGACCTGGCACCCAGTGGGTCACACCGCCCCAGTGGAGAAGGTGGCATCAGCGCCAGCCGACTACATACTTGCTTTGCCTTGCTGCCCCCACCTGCTGGGCTCCTACCTGTTTTGCTTGGCTTGTCCAATGATCTTCCTTCATCTTTTCCCTTCCCTGGTTCTCCTGCCTTGGGGAAGCTGACAGGCCAGAGGTTTCCATCCTTCGCTTCTGGTTCCCTCTTGGTCCCACTGCCAAGTTCCTTTCTGCCTCCTTAAGACTAACTATCTTCTCTAATCCAGAACAAATCCGGAGATGCGGTCAGGGAAGAGAAGCCCATCACCAGCTTAGCAGCAAACCCCCCTGGAAAAGGGGGGCGCCTGAGATTCGCCAGCCCCTCGGGCCCTCAGGTCTCTGCAGCCCCCCAGTGCCCTGATGCCCCGGTCATCTTTACCTGGCCAGGGTGCATCGCTGCCTTCGACTCCCACCTGTGCTGGCAGTGCCTCTGTGGCAGCTCAACTCTCGCTTGTCTGGAATGTGTCCTCACACCTCTCAACCTTCCAGAAACTGGCTAAAATGGAAGCTAAGTTTAGCAAGTGAATCTCTTAAGTGCACTGAGTCTCTAGAACCTGAAGCCAACTACTTAAAAAAAAAAATATATTTGGTGGGTGTTAGACTGGGCTTTAAAAAGACTGTCCTGGAACAGCCAAAAATGTGCATGTGGTGTTTAATCCCCGACAGGCCAGTTGAGAGGTATGTATGCGGGACAAGACTTGCTGGTTCCCCTCCAGCAGTTCCTTGGCCTGCCGTTGTCAATTACACTGATGGGACTAGAACCTCCACTCGGTGGCCTGCCCGCTCGCCCCTCCTGGAGCTCAGGGCTGAACTGATGTAGCCCCCGGCTCCCAGGAATTAACCCATATTGTTCCTCCCCCTAGACGATACTGCCCCCTCCCACAGAGACTCAGTGGAATTGACAAACCATGTTGGCTTCCTCTTTGTTTCTCAAAGCTCTTGGCTCTAGCCTCCCTGCCTTCCCATCCCGGGTTTCCCTAAATCCCTGGGTCTCCCCTCCTTGGTTTCTGTCTCTCGATGCCCACTTGCACGGATGGGCCTGGGTCCGGGCTCCCATCCCTGCCTTGCACACAATGCCGCTTCTGATAAGCTCCCAGTTCCAGACCTTGGATGGGGCTTCCTGTCCAGAACCAACTGGCGGGATGTTTGCTTTGTACTTGCTTTGGCCATCAGCGGGAGACCCTCGGAGAGGAGCGTTCCCCACTCTTGAGAACTCTGCGGGTTTTTCAAGCTTGTTGTCATGTCAAGGAACCTTTCCGGGAGTGTTTTTCGTTTCCTGACCTGCTCTTCTATTTGAGACACTGAAACGGCCCCAAGGTTTCTTCTGTCATTCACCATCTTGCTTTCTCTCTCTCTTCCCACCCCACACCCCCGTTCCTTTGATTTTTATCTGGCCATAGAGAGCAGGGCTAAGGGAGGGCTCAGAGGAGAAGGTCAAACCGCCTCGTCCCAGGGCCCCAGAGAGTGACACAGGAGACGAGGACCAGGACCAGGAGAGGGATGCGGTGTTCCTGAAGGACAACCACCTGGCCATTGAGCGCAAGTGCTCCAGCATCACGGTCAGCTCCACGTCCAGCCTGGAGGCTGAGGTTGACTTCACAGTCATTGGTGACTACCATGGCAGCGCCTTCGAAGACTTCTCCCGTAGCCTGCCTGAGCTCGACCGAGACAAAAGCGACTCAGAGACCGAGGGCCTGGTGTTCTCCCGGGATCTCAACAAGGGGGGCCTCAGCCAGGAAGACGAATCTGGGGGCATCGAGGATAGCCCGGATCGAGGGGCCTGCACCACCCCAGATATGCCCCAGTTTGAGGTATAGTGGAGCATCCTGGAGACCTGGGCCCGGCGGGCACTGCATGTTCAGAGGGCCCCGGGCCATCTGTGAGAAGACCAAGCCGCCAGCCTGCAGCCCAGAGCCCCTCAGCCTGAAGCTCTGTCTCGTGTTGCATGACTGTCCCTCGCAGAAAGCATGGTTCTGTGCTCGCATGTTTGCCATCTTGGTTCACCCCTAACATGCACTCCTTGGCGTTTTAACCCTGTGACCCCATCGCTTGCCCGAGGTCAAGTGATGCCAGGCGATCTGGTCTTACTCGCCTCCTCTCCCTGTCTGTGTTGCATGGCACCTGCAGAGAGCATGTGCTTGTGGACTCGCCTGTGGCCTGGCCTGAAAGTCGATGGTTCTTACTGATCCTGGCCTGGCTCCTCTCCCCGGGGCCTGGGCTTCCTGGCGGAAAGGGCAGCAGTCTGAACCCATCTGGCCCTGGGGTCTCGGGGTAGCAGCAGAAACTCCTAGAGAGGAGGAAACAGCATCACTGACGGGGACACGGGGATTGACTGTGTCTGGGTCCCTCTGCTTTGTGTCCTTCCTTCAGAGGGTCTTTGTCCTGTGATTCCTTCGCCCTCTCAGCTCTTGCAGCCCCTGCCTGCCTCCCACCACACTCTCCTCTCTCCCATGTTCCGAGCTTTGAAATGTGAGCTCACCTACTCTGGGCATCCACTCCATGCTCTACCCTCTGGGTGGAAAGTTTTGCATCCCTTTCTCTGCCTTGCAAACTTGTCATGTTCCAGGACCAAGTCCAGATATCACTTTCCTAGCAAATGCTTTCCTGACCACCTTGCGCAGAAGTGTTGCTCCCTCCACAGCCCCCTTGCTCTGGAATGTTTCTGCTCCCCGGCATCGTCCTAGGTAGTCAGGTCAGTGGCTGCCAGGCCCACTGTCCCCCTGGGGGCAGCTCCTCTAAGCCTGCACATGCCAGGCATTAATAGATGATTAAACTGGATGAATGGCTAGATCTCATGGTTACAGTAATCTATAAGAATCCCTCTCACTACCCTCCCAACCAGATGGCAAGCTATTTCATTCATTCCGCTCACATATGCTAATAGCCACATGAACTGACATTGCTGGAGGAGTTTGAAGAAACTGATCATTTAACCGGAGACTAATAGACTAGAGGTTGAAAACCGGTGGCCCCAGGCCAGATCTGGCTAGCAGATGTGTTTTCTTTGACTTTGACTGAAAAATTGGGACATGGAATATAAAATCCGTAGGTGTTTTGTTTTTTTTTTAATCATTAAAAAAAATCAGATGATCCAAGTCATTCAGAGGCCATGGCTGCCGTTGGCCAAACCTGAGTGGAACCCTTGTGTTCTCCTGTTGACCCCAGTTCTCAATAAGCCCGCTGCACCCCTTTACATCTCCTGCCTGCCCCCCCCCCATTGGCCCCCAGGTGTGTGACTCCTCTTCTCAAGAACAGTTCAAATGAAGCAACTGGGAGGCGGCAGCATAATCACTGAATTCAGTGACAGGTATATAAGGACAGTACTTAGTGGGGGGCCCAGCACAAGCCCAAAACTAGCTCACAGCCACCGGGAGGTTATGTGGTGGCGGGGTCATGAGCAGCCTTTCTGAGTGCTGTTGGTGGCTCTGGCTATCCCCCTAGGCTGTCTGGGACGGCTTGCTTGGCCTCTTTGCCCGGACCTGTGTGCCCTTCCAGAGACCCAGCCAGCTGCAGGGATGGAAGATATGCTACAGTGGCCTGTGAGCAGGAGTCATGCAGAGGCTTGGGTTATGGAGTGTCCTCCCTCATCTTCCTACAGCCCGTGAAAACGGAAACCATGACGGTCAGCAGCCTGGCCATTAGAAAGAAGATTGAGCCTGAGGCTGTCCTGCAGACCAGAGTCAGCACTATGGACACCAGCCAGGTAACCTGGGCCTTCCATTGCACCCTGAGCATAGGTATTGGACATTTAAGGGTGGGGTCCCCACCAAGGCCAAGCCCCGTGGCCAACTCTTGCCACTCCGGCTTCCCCAGAGCCTCCATGTTAACCTGGATGCTCTTCTGAGCTTCATTGTCCTCCCTGAGCTCTGGGGGTGGGCGGTGGAATGAGTTCCTGTCCTGGGTAGACCACACCTCTTACAGCCTCGATTTCCCATCTCTGAAATGGGAATGATCATGTCTCCCTGTCCTTCTGGGAGTGCTGTAAGGACTAGTAGCGAGTGGACTAGACTGTGGCCTTCAGATTGCTTGAAGGAGTTGGAAAGGTTTCTTGAGGTATCCCAAGGGCTGCTTTGGGAGAGAGAGGGAGAGATCCCAATCCAGCTTTTGTCAGAACGACTCATACTGGATCATTTTTTTTAACACATGGGGGTTCCATATCATTGGCAAAATGAACAAACTGAGAAAAAGATTTAAAAAAAAACATTTGTCTTAGCAAGATGAAACATACTTGGTACCCTGGACGGAGCAGTCCGAAAGACACACAGGTGCGCTATGGGCATACGGGTGCACAGAGCATTGCTGAGGTTCCTCTTGTGGTTTTTGGTTTTTAAACTTAGAACCTTGAGATTGTAGGTCTGATAGATGCCCTCTTGGTTCCTCCTGGCCAGAGGAGCTGCACTGCCAGGGGTGGAGACTAGTCTGCGTTTCAAGAACTAAAGTGAGGCGTAAACCAACACAGTGTGGACAACTGTGTCGTTTCCAGAATATTTTTCTTCCCCGATTGTAACATGCACAGTGGTCTCTGTGTCAGCTGGTGCAGCGGCCAAGACGCTCGAGTTGTAACGAGCCGTGTGATCTCAAGCCACACGCCTCCTCTGTGGCCTATTTTGTTTTAGTGGCCGGTGTTTTATTTTGTTTTCGTATGGAGAAATATAGAGAAAACTAAAAAGGCCCCAAAGTCAACAGCCCAGTAATCCTTATTGACGACAAAACAAAACAGTGACAAAGTGTTCACAGTTACGAAATTCGAACAAAACAGTTTGAAATGTTTCTTGTAATTCTTCCTAGGAAAAAAAAATCTATGCATATCTCATATATACATTTACATCTCAAGATGGCAGAATTTTACACGGAAGAGGTCCTCTTTTACACCTCACCCTTTTTTCTTAATGACTGTCTTGGAGATCATTCCTCGTTGCCATATGTGGGCCCACCTTACTCTTAGTCCCACTTAGGAGCGGGTCCTGACTTAACCTGCAGTCTTCCGTCAATGGACCTGTGGCTGTTTTTGTCTTTGGCAGTTAACGATGAATGCTTCCGTGGGCTTCTTTGTTTGTACTTCTTGGCAAAGTTTTCAGAATTGATATCCAAAGGATGAACTCCTGGCCGTGGAATCACTAGGTTGAGGAATACATGCATTGAGATTTGCATAGGGTTTGCAAAATTATCTGGGATTTTTTTTTTTTACTTTTTTCAAATAAGATGATTCAGACGAACTGGGGGACCTGTGAGGACCCCCTGTAACTCTGTGTGTGGATGAGCCCCCCCACCCACCCACCAGTGCATGTGTACTCACACAGCCCGTCCCTCTGTAACTGGGAATGCCACCTGCCCAGGAGCGGATGCTGCAGGCACATGCGGTGTGCGCACTCTCTCTCTCTCTCATGACTTCTCTGGCCAGCAGGTTGATGGGACTGCCCCAGGGGGAAAGGAGTCCATAACAACTGCTCCCTCCATCACCACGGAGACCATATCGACCACCATGGTAAGTAGGACCCAAGAGACTTCCCTGTCTGACTAGCCCCCTTGCCCTCAAACAGCCAGATAACAGTGTCACATCACTGGCTGTCTGGAGCGGTCCTCCTCTGCCCTCCCTGCGTCAGGCACAGGACATAGAGTCGATCTCTTCTTGTCTGGCATCATCCAGTCAGACCTCAGTTTTCCAAATTGAATAATGTGGGTTGTGGAATCCCTGAGGTTCAGTTATCCGGACCATCTCAGCCACAGCAGGGGTAAGGGCAGGATGGTACCATTCGATTATTTGATTATTGGCAAGGTGTGAGGATTGAACTTGAAAGTCCCTGACAGACCCTGGCCACTGGTTTCTCATGTCTTGGGCCACTTCCTTCCTTGGTCAGTAGATGGCGTACAGTGAACCTAAATTGGAAGCTCAGGATTTTAGACCATCTCCTAAGACTCTGGTTCTGCTACCTAGGTGCTGTCTGACCTGTGAAGAAAGGTCCTTGGCCTCAGGTGTCTTCATCTGTAAAATGGGAATAATCCCCATTCTGCCTAGTTCATAGGTTTGTTTTTTTTTTTAAGATTTTATTTATTTATTTGAGAGAGAGCACAAGCACAAGCTGGGGGGGCGGGCAGAGGGAGAAGCGGACTCCCTGTTCAGCAGGGAGCCCAACCTGGGGCTCGATCTCAGGACCCTGAGATCGTGACCTGAGCCGGAGGCAGATGCTTAACTGACTGAGCCACCCAGGCGCCCCTGGTTCACAGGTTCTTAAGAGAGTCCAGTAACGTCAGATCCTTTAATGACACAGACCAGATAGCATTAGGCACCCAGGCTGTGTCACGATTCAAGGTGCCAAGAACCATGCATGGGTGATCTCACTGAGTCCTCAGAAAAACTGGAGGGGATTCTCTTTTTTTCTGCACCCTTTACAGATGAAGAATCTGAAGTGCAGAGAGGTAAGGTGACTTCATAAGGTCACACACCTAGTACGTGGTAGAGCCAGGTCAAACCCAGAAGCTTCACTATGCACCTGCACCCTAACCACTCTGCACCCTCATCCAGACCACTGTGAACACTGGCCACTGGGGGTGGGGCCGGGGCCGGGGCTGGATCTGTCTCGAGCTGGTGGAAAGTTGTTTTCAAATGCTTTCTCTTGCCAAACCCCTGATAGACACCTAGGAAGGGAATTGCGTTTTAGACTACCCAGCAGGTAGGTTTTGAGCAAACAAAGACAAATAACTCCGAACCAGTTACCAGCTTGCACCCTCTTTCCTGGTCACTCTGTCCGACCTCTCCCTCAGTCCTCCACGTGGCATCAGGACGCTTCTAGGGCTAAATTTAAGTTCATACTATGGTGAGTAGGCAGTTACATCATTCATTTACCCACCTACCCACCCACCCACCCATCCATCCATCCGTTCATTTCTTCCAAAAACATTTCTTAGTCTCTGTTGCCTGCCTGATTCGCGGAATACAGAGTTGAAGGAAATATACTGCCTGCAAGAAGTCATTTGTTCAAGTAATGATCACAGGCACGTGTCATTGTGTAGGTCCTGGGCACACAGTGGTGAGCAAGGCCCAGCTCTCCCATGTCCTGGCTGGATGACCCCTGGGCAAGTTACCTGAACCTCTCCAAGCCTCAGTTTCCACTTCTGTAAAAGGGGGTGATGGGGAGCAATAACAGCACATCCCTCAAAGGGTTGACCCAAGGAGGGACCGAGGTAATCTGTGCAAAGGCATGCCTGGCACATAGTAAGGGGCCTGTAAATGTGAGCTGCTTTCTTTTCTCTGCCTTCATGAAACAGAGCTGCTTTCTTTTCTCTGCCTTCATGAAAATGATAATGCTTTCCGAGGGGGTGCAGGGAGAGGTATGGGATGACACCCCTGCCAGGAGGGCTGAGTGGGCTTTACCTCGGCAGGGACATCGGAGCCATCCTTCAAGGATAAATGACGGTGTGGCCACAGCAGAAGGTGTTCTAGGCAGTGGGGACAGCAGGTGCAAAGGCAAAAGGTTGGGAAGGAGCAGAGCATTTGGGGAAAGGCAGGTGGTCAGTGAAGCAAGATGTCAGGTGTGTGGAAGAGGAGGGGCGGGGGGAGGAGAAGAGGCTGGAAAGGTGGGCTGGGCCAGGGCGTGAAGGGCCTCAGATGTCACGTAGGAAGTTCACACTTCATCCTGGACGCAGTGGGGCATCAACTTTTGATGCAGGGGTGTGATGTCATCAAACATGTGTTTCTGTGTTTTAGGAAGATTTACCCTGGCAACTCTATGGGTCGTCACTAGAAGAAAAAATTCCCTCCTGTCCTCCCTCCCTCCCTCCCTCCTTCCTTCCCTCGGCAAATATTTGTTGAACGTTGTGCCCGGTGCTGTGAGCCTGGTGCTGTGAGCCCGGCACTGAGGAAGGCAGACAGCACCCGAGCCCGCATGCCATTGGCAGAAACATAAAGAGAGGCAGGGAGCTGGTTTAGGGGCTGCAGCGGAGCCCGTGTGCAAGGAGGTGGATGCTGAGTAGGGGGCAGGGTTAAGGGATAACTGGAGGGAGGAAGGTGCAGGATTTGGTCAGTGACAGAATGTTCGGGTGACAGGACAAGATGGGCTGGTGACCTAGCCCTAACCTAGGCATTCTTGAAGCGCAGTCCTGGGAACCTTTAGAAAAGCAAATCTCTGCACCCCTCCCCCCAAACCTATCAAATCAGAAACTCTGGGACAGGGCCCAGCTGTCTGTGCCACCCCTCAAGTCTGAGTAGCTCCGAAGCAAACAGAGAGCCCTGGAGGGGACCGTTCTTTAGTGGCAGGTATGTGTCGGGTGGCGGGGGTGGGGCACTGAATTCCATGTTGGATCTGATGAGTCCAAGGTGCCTGTGGGGCGTTTCCGGGCGGAAATGTCGAGGGGACAATTGGTTTTAAAGGTCTCGGTTTCAAGAAAGATCTGGGCTGTCGTTGAAGAGATAGGGGACAGTGGCCGTGGGAGAAAGCCTTGAATGGCTGAGGCGGCCCCGAGAGAGGGTAGTGAGGAAGAGAGCCCTCAGCTGGAGGGAGGAAGGGTCCAGAGCCCAGATGGTGGCATTGCCCTGGCCAGGGAGAGAAGCCACACCTCCTGGAGGCAGGCAAGAGGACTGCCCGAAGATAAAGTGGAGGCAGGCAGAGCAGATGGTGCCTTATTTCGAACGACCTGTGTCCCCATTAGTGGTCTCTCTTTTCAGTGTGAAGATGGAGGTGAGGCTTCGTCTGGGACAGAGGGAGCAGAGGGAGAAGAAGAGGCTTTGGGGGAGAATTGCCTGGAGTGACAGTAGGACTGTCCTAGGCTGGCAGGAAGGAAGCATGGAGCCCAGAAGGCTGCCCCCACCCTTTTTGGGGTTGAAGTGTAGTTGACACACAACGTGACAAGGGTTTCAGGTGTACAGCTCCGTACAGTATGCCGCCCTCACCCCGAGCGTAGCTGCCATCTGTCCTCAACGCAGCCTTAGTTCAGTGCCCCTGACTGTTCTCTGTTTCATGCCCGTGACCTGTTCATTCCAGAGCTGGAAGCCCGCACCTCACACTGCCCTTCACCCCCGGCTGCTCATCCCTCCACCCCGTCCCCTCCGGCAACTCCCAGTTCTCTGTATTTATGATCTGTTTGTGCTTTTTCCATTGGTTTGTTTGGTTTTTGAGATTCCACATAGAAGTGAAATCGTATGGCATTTGTCTTTGTCTGACTTATTTCACTTAGCATCGTACGCTCTAGGTCCATCCATGCTGTTGCAAATTGTCAGATCTCATTCTTGTTTATGGCCGAGTAAGAACATTAGAGATCACATCTTCCTTATCCATTTATCTATTGGTGGACACTTGGGCTGTTTCCATATCTTGGCTATTATAAATAACGCTGCAATAAACATAGGGGTGCGTGTATCTTTTCAATTAATGTTTTTGTTTTCTGTGCGTAAATACCCAGTACTGGAGTTACTGGATCCTATGGTATTTCTATTTTTAATTTTTTTTCCGAGGAAGCTGCATACGGGATTTCCACAGTGGCTGCCATCCCACCAACAGTGCACGAGGGCTCACTTTTCTCCACATCTGCGCCAACACTTGTTGTTTTTTGTCTGTTTGAGACTAGCCTTTCTGACAGGTGTAAGGGGATATCTCGTTGTGGTTTTGATTTGCATTTCCCTGCTGATGGGTGATATTGAGCATCTTTTTGTGTCTGTGGGCAAGACTGCCCATTTTAAGGCCTGCTGCCGGGCCACATTCTGGGACTGCATCTGAGAAAGTTGCTTACTGTGGGAATGCCAGGTAACAGGTCACTGCCTCAGTTGGAGGCAGGCCTGGGGGCGTTATGCAGGGCAAAGGCAAAGGGGCTTCCATCCTTAGCTGTCCCCTGACAGCCAGAGGTCCACATCTAGTACTGTGCACAGACCAGGACCGGGGTTCAGCTGCTGGGGGGCTACAGAACAGACCCAGCTCTGGGCCCCTGGACAGACAAGGGTGAGCCCAAGATGGTGCAGTAAGCGGGAGGTAGAGGTGGGCGGCCAGGCCCCCTGCCAGACATGGGGCAGGAGTCTCTGGCAGTTAGAATCCACCATAGGACCAGGAGAGCTGCTCCAGGGTAAGAGTTCTGAGGGCAGAGTATTGTTGCACGTTGGGCTTGGAGTCTGACGAACATGGGTCTAAATCCGTGCTCTGTCACTCACTCGCTGGTGGACGTGAATAAGCCACTTGACATTCTCTGGCCTTCCAGTTTCTCAACTCTGAAACAGGAATATTAAAACAATTTCCTGTGGTTGTTCCAAGGATTAAATGAGATAGTGCATCCTTAGCATAATACTGAGCACATAGCAAGTACTCAGAAGTAGGTATTATTACGTTGTTAGTAGCCAGCCTATGTTCCTATGTTTATCCTAAGATTGACATTTGCAAAGCCCTTTCTCCTCTGCTAACCTCATAATGTTTCTGTGGGAGTTGGGCAGTGTGTCTTTTTATAATATTTTTAGAGCAGTTTATTTTTTTAGAGCAGTTTCACGGCAAAATTGAGAGGAAGGTACCCCATATGCTCCATATATGGGGATATATACAGAGAGATTTCCCATATGCTCCTCGGCCCTGCACACGCACAGCCTCCCCCATAATCAGCATCCCCTACCAGAGTGGGGCATTTGTTACCACTGACAGGCCGACATTGCAGGGGCCCATGGAGAGGAGGTGGCTGTGCCCCAGCTCACGTGGCTAGAACATGGCAGGGCCAGGACGAGAGCCTAAATGTCTCCCCTCCTTTGTTAGTGCTTCCTGAGAGCAAAACCGTGTCTTGTTCACCAATGTCCCTAACCCCAGGCACTCTCAATGTTGAACGGGTGAGTGGGTGAGCGAGTGGGAGAGTAAGTATGAGAGCAGGTGTGTGTGTGAGCATGTGAGCCCGTGACAGTGTCACTCCTCCGCCTCGTGGCCATGAGAGCTACACGGCTGTGGGCTCTGGCCATCCTGGGGGCCCACCCACGTGAGAGCTGGCCATCTGAGCACTATTGTTTCCCCAGGAGAACAGTCTCAAGTCCGGGAAGGGGGCAGCCGCCATGATCCCAGGCCCACAGACGGTGGCCACGGATATCCGTTCTCTTTCTCCGGTAAGTGGGTAGGGCCAGCTCAGGCTAGGGGACTCTGTGCTGAGAATGTGGTTCACAGGTGGCCCTCAGCAAGTGCAGCATAGAGCCCAGTGGGCTGCCCTTTGAAGCCCAGCGCCAGGAACCTGGATCGTGCTCAGATGCCCGCAGGGCTCCCTTGTGCCCACCAGAGTCTCATCCATCGCCTCCACCCCCCACATACACACACCAGAGGGCGTCACAGCGTGAGGGTGAAGCAGTCCCCCTCCTTGGTGGTGCCTGTGATGGGACAGCTCGTTTGCATCTGCTCTCCTTACTGACCAGGAGGAAAAATGGACTAGGAGTCCAGAGGCTTGCACTCTGGATGTGGCTCTGTCCGTGGCTCCCCTGGGCCTGAGTCTGTCACTGTGAGGTCTCTTGCATCTCCTGCATTCTCCAAGTCTGTCCTAGCCCCGGAGCCCACATATTCCCGGCTGTGACGGGGTGGGGGCTTGGGAGGGCTCTGTTTCCACCCTGAATCCCCTATTCATTCTTCTAAGATGCCAGGATTCTTAAAATCTGGGGTCTTGTTAGGATTCTGGGCCACGGGAACCTTGGGTTCTAGGAATCTGAGAGTCAACGGTTTGAGAATTTCATGGGTCTAGCCTTCTGAAGATTCCAGTATTCCTGAATTCTTAGAATCAGTGATTTGAAGCATCTTCGCTTCCAAACTTCACCTTCGTGGGGCCTCCTTGGCTTACCCCCCCCGACCCCCACCCTGCAGAGCCCAGTGTCCTTACCTGACCCCTGGGTGGGGGGTGGTTATATTCTGCAGATCATCGGGAAAGATGTCCTCACCAGCACGTACGGCGCCACCGCGGAAACCCTCTCCACCTCCACCACCACCCATGTTACCAAAGTGAGTAGCAGCAGGGCGCCGTCTGCCCCCAGCCTGGCTGTGGGGCTGGGGAAGGTTATGGCTATTGCTGTGCCTTTTATCGTGGACAGAGAAGACCTGTGGTGGTCTAGTTTCTGGAGTGCTGTGCGCTTTGTTCTGTACTACGGGTTGTCCTAGGCACAGACCCTGCCCTTCAACGTCGACAGCCAGGCTGGCGGGGGGCAATACCACGTCACCTGAAGTAATTCTAAGCCATGGCATTTGCGCCTTATGGACCTTAAGTGCTGGCAGAATTTAGAAGGGGTGATGTAAGGGAGCCTCAAAGAGTGAGGAGGGGTTGTCTGGGAAAAGTGGAATTTGTGCAGGGTCTTAGGAAGCCAGGTAGTACTCGTGAGGGAGGAGAAGACAGATGCAGATGTTCTAAGCAATGCAGAAGATGGGAGCAGAGACTGTGTATGTGTTTATTTGTTCACTGAGCGGATGTTAGTGAGCGTCAACTTTACGCCCGCCTCTGTGCAAGGGGTGCTGGTGGCAGCTGCCGGTGATCCATGTTTGTGGGAACAGAGACAGTGGTCTCCGTCAGGGAGGAAGAGCCTGCAGGGGGCGTAGCTGTGGGGAATTGGGGTGGACTGGAGGCAGGGGAAGACAGGGAGAGACAAATGAGACAAATCCCAGGACAGATGTGACTATGAAGGGTCTAAGAGCCTTTTTTAACTGGGGAGTGACCCAGTGCAAAGAGGTTTAAGAAGAGATTAGGTCCACAAGGATGCGCAGGTAGATGGGAGAAAGAAGAGAGAGAGAGAGTCACGGAATGACTAGGGTTGGGGGGCCTGGACCAGGCTCTGAACCACAGTGTGGGGGAAGGAAGAGGCAGGGCCACGGGAAGGGGTCACTCCCTAGGCGTCAGCTGTGACTCAGCCAATGAGCACAGAGGGCTGGGGGCAGGCTGGCCAAGCATCTCCATGCCTGAGTGGCCAGGAGGGAGGCAGGAGGGGGCCCAGGCCAGAAAGGGAGGCCTGGAGGAGAGGGGCTGGGGAGGCAGGTTGAGGTTGAGGTTCTGCTGAGTCATCCGAGGGAGAAGCCTGCTGGCCCTCCCGTGCACACACCGACCCAGCCCTGCTCCCTCCTGTGGGTGCAGGACTCCTGCTGGACTCAAAACCTTTGCACGTTCCCCAGAAAGCGGCCCCCCCCCGCCACTCTCACCAAAAGCATTTGTGAGCAATGTTGACTTCACTGAAAGTTTTATGGGAAGGTTTTCCATCACACACGCCACTGCATACAGCTCAGAAAACTCTTCTTCCCAAAGTTTCTCCCCTCCCTGACAACCAGGAGCCCCCTTCTGTCTGTCTGCTCCTGCTGGGATTTCCCTCAGCTACCACTCTCCTTGATATGCCAAGCAATTAGGTCCTTCCCCATCTTCTACTTCTAAATTTGTGCCCAAACCCTGCCCTTTCAGAAAACAGTGGAGGTTCTAAGTATTACCAACGCAGTTTTCTCTTGTAGTATTGTTTGAAGTCATTTAAGATAGAAGATTGTCACCATTCACATTTCATTCATGTGTTCATTCAACAAATCTGCATTTAGCACCTGCCCTGGTCAGATTGGACGGTGGGGAGGGGCGGAGGGGATACAGAAATGAACAAAATGCAGCCCCTGCCCTTGAGCTCCAGCCTAGTGAACCAGACCCGGTCACACACACAAGGTCAACGTGAGGCAGAGAGCCCTGGAAACCGCGCAACAGAGACAGACTTGGTGCTCGGGGAGTACCAAGGCAGGAGGGGGGCAGGGTCACCAACCGGGATCAGGGAGACATGACTGGACCTGGGCTTGGAAGACCTAGAGGGGGCAGTTGGTAGTTGGGGGAGTGGTGGCCACAGGCAAGACGTGCCATCTAAAGTCCCAAAACCAGAAGAGGGAGCCAGGAGAGAAGGTGACTGCTGGTTCCAGCCTCGCCCTTGAGGGGTGCTTTGGATGGGTGCCCTGTCACAACCCCGCGGGACCCAGGGCTGACCTCACCGCCCTCTCACTCTACAGACTGTGAAAGGGGGGTTTTCTGAGACGAGGATCGAGAAGCGGATCATCATCACTGGGGATGAAGATGTTGATCAAGACCAGGTATGGGGGTAGGGAACACTGTTCCCAGGGGCCCTGCCCAGTCCCCAGTCCCTCCCATATTGGGTCACCCATGGACAGCTGCCCTTGTGGGCAGAGATGAAGTCCACCTCATGCTGATCCTTGTTCAGACAAGGAGACCCAAATGAACCCCAAAGGAAGAGACATAGAATGGGAGCCTGAAGGAGCCAGAGGCCCTGAGCTCTGGGCTCTCCCTTTAACTCTTTGACCACTGCCCCTCCCTGGGCCCATTTCCACAGCTGTACACGAAGGGGCTTGTCGGTCTCCATGGCCTCTCCTGTATTAGATATCCTGTGGTTCCTCACTTTGTTGCTCTTTTCTACCAGGCCCTGGCTTTGGCCATCAAGGAGGCCAAACTGCAGCATCCTGACATGCTGGTAACCAAAGCTGTCGTATACAGAGAAACAGACCCGTCCCCAGAGGAGAGGGACAGGAAGCCACAGGTAAGCCCTCTGAGGCTCAGCAGCCAGGAGAGGGAGGAGGGAACCGTGGTAAGATCTTTTCAGGGTCGTTTCCATCTGAGAGTCTTGTCAGGTGGCTTGGTCCCTAACACAGTTTTAAGTGCCCACATTCCTGGTCTGTGGCTCAAAGGAGAGAAGTAGCTCCCCCAGATACAAATCAGAGTGGGGGATGGCGGGGGAAGACTGGTTCCTTGGCTTCTTGGGGGTTTCAGGCCCCAGACCCAGAAAAGTATATCTGGAAGTGATAAGGACAGGGAGAGAGGGTTGATAGCAGGTCCTGAGGTGGGACAGCTGGAGACAAGCATAGCCTCACTCGCCATTACCTAGAAATTTGAAGCTAGAAAAAGGCCCCTCAGGCCCAGGGCCACCTTCCTGTCCCTGAGTCTCTGCCTCCATCACAGGTCACTGGATATTGCTAAAGAGGAATATGATGCCCAGAGTTCTCAATCCCATCTGTGTTGCTAGATTGCAAACCCTTGACTTCTCAGGCTATCCTGGGCCAGAAGTTTACTTTTCTGTTTCCTTATGGACAGACCATCCGTGCCTTGCTGAACAAGAAGAAGGAGATGGTGCTATAGCGGATAGGGGCTTTTATTAGCCTAAATTGGGGGAGGGGTTCTTCTGGTCCCTCTGGAAATTGACTAAATTTTATCAGGCCTATAAAACAAAATCTCACAGACGTTGAGTTGAGTGGGAGAATTCTATACAAGTTCAAAAGTAGGCCAGCTAATCAATGATAGCAAAAGTCAGAATAGTGCTTAGTTCCAGGATGTGATATTGACAGGGAGGCGTCACAAGGGGACCTTTGAGGGTGCTGGAAATGTCAGCATCTTGAACGGGGTAGGTCACATGGGTGTATACATACATAAAAATGTGTCGAGCTGTATACTTGGATTTGTGCTCTTTACACGTCTCATCCGTTGTACCACAATGAAAAAAAGAACTCATCTCAAAGACCTACACGGAGTAGATCTCCTTTTTGCCCTCTTTCCTGATGAATGAGACCATGTTTTCTAGAGATACAAGAATGTGGATCACCACCCCTTTCCTGTCAGAAGAAAAAGCACTAAAACATTTCCTGCCACTTTGAAAGGCTGCCAAACCCTGGTCTAGACTGTGCGGTCCAACAGAACTCTCTACAGCGATGGACATGTTTCCTTTGTATCATGCAACACACATGGCTATTGGGCACTTGAAATTGGCTAATCAGAGATCAGATTGCTTTAAGGGTAAAATGCATGCAGGATTTTGAAGACTTAAGATGAAAAAAGGCACGCACATGTCTCAATAGTGTTTCTATTGATTACATGTTCAGATGATCATGTTTAGATATATTGGGTTAAGTAAAATATATTATTAAAGTTCATGTCCCCTGTTTCTGTTAACTTGTTTCAAGGTAATTTTAAATTTAGAATTTTTATTTAGAAATGAAAAGTTTCTATCTAGAAGATTTAAGTAAATTAGAAATACCTAGAAAATTTAGCAAATACTGTCTAGAGAAATTTAAATGCCATACATGGCTCTCGTTTCTATTTCTGTTAGACAGCACTGCTCTAGAAATATAAGCTGGTCATGGGCAGAGCCTACCTCCCAGCCTTCCTCAGGCTTCCGTGCAAATTGTGCCTCCTGTCCACTCCATTGTCCAGTTACTCTTGCCTTTCCTCCCCCAGACCTCTGAGTGGTAGTGCACTGGCAGCATCACCTGGGGGAACTGTGGCCATAAAGTCTGATTTAGAAGGACTGGACTGGGCCTGGGCATCTGTATTTATATGTTGGTCCTTAGGAAGTCCATGTGCAGCCACTGGTGCAAAGAATTCTGTGCTGGCTCCAATCCCAGCCATTCCCCCGTGGGCACGCAGTTTCCTCACTTGCAAAATGAAGAGATGGGGCAAGCGCCTTCCAGGCATGGACTTCTGGCTGTTTATTTGCTTTCCTCGAGTACCTGTAACGTGTTTCTCCTGTTTTTTTCCTTTCCCTATCTTGTTCCTCCCCATCTTTCCCGGAGCATTTCCAGCCAGTCCTCCAGGCTCCTGCCTTCCCATTTTCCCTGGCCGCTCAGAGCTCTAGTCCTTGCCGCCACATCCTGCCCCCCCCCAGCTCTCCCCCCGCACCCCTGCCACTGTGCAGCCTTTCACATCTGCCCACTTGGCGGGTCTCATGCGTCCTCCTCGCCCCTCTGTTAGTTCTTCCTTTGATGCCATTGTCCCACACAACACCATTCTCTCTGTCTCTCCTCTCTCTCTCTCCAACCCCCTCCTTCTTGCTCTCCTTCTTTCCCTCTCTCTCCTCGCTCTCCCTTCCTCTATCTCTCTCTCTCTCCTTCCCTCTCTTCCTGTCTCTCCTCTCCCTCTCCCTGTCAGATTCTTCTGTAAAGGTCACCTTGTTCACGTCACTCTGGAAAGACAGAAGTTTCTCCCTTGCCTTTTCTCTCCACATGCTTTGCCACTACTTGGGAAGCACCTTTGACCCCCTAATCTTGTCAGACTCACTCATTCTGGGGGAGAGGTCTTCTCTGAATTTGAAAACTCTTTTTTAAAGTGCTTGAAACATGTCAGACTGATGGATGGATGTATCTTGGTAGCCCAAGGAAAGATCTGGAATCCTACAAACCTGGATTCAGTCTCAGCCCTGCCTGTTATTAGCAATGTGACTTCCAGCAGATTATTTATCTCTGCACTTTGCTCATCAGCTAGTGGTCAGCAACCATAATCACAGTGATAATAATTGCTGAAATGTATGGCGTGTTTCCACTATTCCAGGCACCAGGCCATGCACTTGACCTAAGTATTGTCATCTGCTCATTCTCACAAATGAGGAAACTAAGCCCCTGAGAGGTTAGGTGACTTGCTCAGAGCCATAGGGCTGGATGCGGGAGTCAAAGCTCATCTATGAGACTCCAGAGCCACCCTGTGGTCCTAACTTCCTTATCCTGTAGGGTTGGTGAGGTCATATATATATAACAGTACTCAACACAGTGCCTGGCACATAGTACGTGCTCAATAAAAGCAAAGGTTGATTCTGATTACTATCAACGCAAAGTAAGCTAACAAAACACTGCACATTCGGAATCTGATGTAATAAACTGAGAAGAATAAATTATAATATGGCATTGTTTAGATGTCCCTGGCACTTCTGAAGTGTGTAAAGGCTTCTGAAGACATCCCACATTGTGTGTACACTGAGCTATAGGACTTAAAGTGCAGCCTACCACTGTTAAAAAAAAAAAAAAAACAAAAAAAAAAAACCTCAGGTAGTTAGCAGAATTAAGTAGAAAGAACACACCCAGGCTTTGGGGCCAGAAACTCCTTGCTAGCAGTTTGCCCAGAGGAACCTCCCTGGGCCTCAGTTTCCTCATCTACAGTTAACCTAGAAATTGGAGCTGCTATAAGAATTAAACATCTGTGAGTGTCTTAGTTTGGGCTGCTGTGACAGTACACCATAGACTGGGTGGCTTAAACAATGCACGTTTATTTCTCCCAATTATGGGGGCTGGAAAGTCCAAGATCAAGGTGCAAGTGGCTGTCTTCTCTGTTGGTCCTTACATGGAAGGGAGCACAAAAAGAGAGAGAGAGAGAGAATCTCTCTTGTGTATCTTTTTATAAGGGCATTAATCCTATATATGAGGGCTCCACCCTTATAACCTAAGTACCTCCCGAAGACCCCCAACCCCTCACATTGAGAATTAAGGCTTCAACGTATGCATTTTGGTAGGGGGGACACAAATACTCAATCCACAGCAGTGACACACAAGGACAGGGCCTCACATACAGAAAGTGCTTAGCACTTTGAACCCGCATCCTTATCCCCTGAGGTTTCGCCATGTTCAGGGACAGATGAGAGCCCTGAGTAAGTCAGACCGTAAGCTTCTGCCACCAGCCTGGTGCACAAGCCCTGTCTCCTTGTGGGTGTCCATCTTGCTGGCCTTTAGCTTCTCTCCTGTCCCTGAAGCCTCCAGAAACATCTGCTCAGACTCCACTTGACTCTTGGCCTTCCTTCCAGAAGTTCTTCCTCTTTGAAGCTCTTGCTGTGAGTGTGGAAAGCACACCCACCCATCTGACACAGGGTCTTTTTTTTCCCTGGCAACTCATGGCCAGATGTGTGGTTTCTGCTCCATCTTCTCCCACTGGCCCACCTCCTTCAGACAGGACTTGTCTCCCAAACACTGCCAGCAACACCCAGCTTCCTTACCTTCAAGATTTGGATGAAGTGGGAAGAAAAAAAATGACCTGTTTCAGAGCAGGAACCTTGGGTTCTAGTCTCATTTCTGTCACCAACTCACTATGACATTGAACCCTCTGGGTCTCAATTTTCCCATCTGTCAACTAAACTGAGAAAGGATTTCGTGTCTATGAGTCCATTTGTACTTGACCTCATGTGAGTGGGAAAGGGCAGGAAGGATACCCCACCTGTTAAGTGGTTTTGGGTAGCTGCTGTGCACCATGCACAGTGACGAGCACCGGAGGCCTAAAGAAGTTAAGAAACTCACCCAACATGGCAGCGCTTGTAGGCCATGGAATGGGATTTGAACTCAGGAGGTCTGATTGCAGAGCTCATGCCCTTGACCACAAAATTTTGGAGTCAAACTTGAGTTGGAATCCAGGCTCCAGTTTCTTTATGGAAATGCTGCTCCCTGGGGTTTAATCCCCAGGACACACAGGCCCACGGAGATCAGAGAGGAAAAACAAAGAGCTTCTGCCATCACAACTAAACAGTTCTTAGGCTGAGAGAAGGTGGGAGGAAAAGGTGAACCGCATGTATGTGATCTGAGCTTCTTAGTGTTAAAGGAAACCTGGACAGATTTCCAGACAGATGTGGGTTCAGGTCTCAGCTGTGTGGCCTTGGACAAGTCACTCTATCTTCCTGAGCCACAGGAAAGGTAGCTAAAACAACCCCTTGCCACGTATTTAAAGATGAATGAGCAAACGTTATTTTTTTTTAAGATTTTATTTATTTATTTGAGAGGGAGAGAATGAGAGACAGAGAGCATGAGAGGGAGGAGGGTCAGAGGGAGAAGCAGACTCCCCGCCGAGCAGGGAGCCCGATGCGGGACTCGATCCCGGGACTCCAGGATCATGACCTGAGCCACTTAACCAGCTGAGCCACACAGGCGCCCATGAGCAAACGTTATTAATTCTTCTTGTCCTCTTTGTGTCCCCTCCCATCCACGCCTCTGGCCCTAGGAATCCTGACCTCTGTGAAGAGATGCTGGCGTTTCTGGTCCAACCCAAGCCAGAGAACCGTTAAGAAGGGGCCTTCATTCTGGATTCTCCGACTCAACACCGAAGTCCCAGCTGTGACGTACTGTCACCGAAAAGGAACTGGGAAAGGAAAAGCATATATATAGAGATATATATAGATAAAGATATATATACGGGAAACGCCGCGTCCTTGCCCCGCTGCTGGGGCTGGTCACGCAGTCGGCCGGCAGCAACAACCATCTGGACACCTACATTTTCTTTGCAGACAAATTGATGAACTGGTGGGATTTTTCAGGAAAAAAAAAATATATATATATATGTAATGACAATAATCTCTCGCTCCCCCTTTCGAAGCCCTGTGGAACGACAAAAGCAAGCCAGACCACAGTGACCGTAGGAGTACAAAACCATCCTGGTTCTGCACGTGACCTTGCGTGGACGAGCATCCCATTTGTCCTAAAGTGTGTGCTGTCCACTCCAGTGCAAAGGAAGCACTTTTGCGGCCAAGCAAGAGAAGTCGCGGCAGCAAGACATGCACCGTCAACCGTTTGCCGAGAAAGAAAGAAAATCCCCCACTCAGAAAGGAGGAGGAACACTGGATTATTATTTTTTGGGTCTTGACACTGGGCTGCAAAATCCACCTTCCTTTCTTCCGCCTCCCCTCCCCCTCGACTCCCGCGTCTTGTCATTTCTGTCTCGGCTCCCCCTCCCCCTCCCCCACCCTCTGTATCCTGGTCCTGCCAAGGGCCGCTGCAGATGACTCTGGTTTGGAACAAGAAAAAGAAAAGAAGGCAAGAGCAGAAAACCCAGCCACAGGAAGGAAAGTAGACAGTGTATGTTCATGGGTTCTCATTACGAGGGTGCGGCTTGTAGATGTGTATGGATGTGCTTTTAAGTTATGTATATGACATATAACAGGAAACAAATATTAAAATAAACAGTGCTGGTAAGTATGAAGCTGACATTTTAAAAATTATAATTATCCGACTGTGATTGATGTATCCCAAGGTTCTTAGATCTCACTGAACCGGCCCAGCCGAGGAGACCTGGACTCTGGCCATGGGTTGCTCGCAGTAGGAGCTGATGGTTCAGCGTAGTAATACAGTGTGTGGTATTTGTAACTGGTTGATTGGTGGGGTGGGGTGGGGTCCCCAGATGGAGGGGCAGGGGTTTGGCAAGAAGGAAGAAACACAGATGTAGTCCAAGATGCCTTCCCCCCATCCCCCTGCGGCAGTAGCCACCAGGGCCTGGTCTGTGCTCAGGTGTGGGGTCCAGAGTCAGGATTCCGCTACAGGGGTCCCCTGGCTCAGCCCCCGTACCTCCCTAGGGGGTTTGCTTCGGTTTTCAGTCTTCTCTTTTTTCGGCCACATATCTTTTCCCTGACCACATTGTGACAGCTGACTCCCCATCCCAAGTGATGTGACACCCACCAGCCACTGCAGAGGATGGTGGCTTTAACCTGGCTGGAGAGCCTGGCTCGCTCTCATCCTCTATGCCTCCCGCATTCGTTTTCTTCCTCCTGGGCCAGAGCACCCATGGTAGAGACCATGAACACAGGGCAGGCCCCATAGGGTAGAACTTCATTTCCAAAGGCTTTGCCTGCCCCCCGACAAGCCGCGGATGAAAGGTGGTATTGCTCAGAGGCTCCTTCTATGTATGAGACTCTGGCTTTGGAAACCTCCCCTTTAGCCAGCGTCTGAGCTCTGAGCCTGTACCGTCAGAGTCCCCAGAATTGCCTTCAGACCACAGAAGCCCTTGGAGAATACCCCTTCCAAAGCTTGGGATTTCCCAGTCTTGCCTGCCAGGAGCTGCTTCCCTGAGCTCAATGAGTCCCCTTTGGAGGGAATATGTCCCCACCGCACTTTTAATTTCTCAGTCCCCCCTCCTACCTCTACAGCGGTCATTAAATTCATTCAACAAATATTTATTGAGTACCTACTTGTGCCAGGCACTATGCTTGGACTGCAGGAGAGAATGTGGGGGAGGGGAGGGACCTGGAAGTCCTCTCAGCCAGCCTTACATCTTCAATCATGGCTTGCCCCTCTGAGAGCATTTCCACATTCTCTCCAATTATTGGCCATTGCCCAGGGATACCCCCCCCCCAGAGGGCCCCGGCTTACTTCTCAGTTACCCCAATGACATATATGCTTAGTTTGCTAAGCTGGTGCTGACCTGAAGACGAGAAACCAGAACAGTGTTTGCCTCTGTGGGCAAAAATGGGACAGAGAGCAGGCAGAGAGAGCCCTGCCCCTGGGGCTCAGATGGGAGATTCAGCCCGCCCCCCAGTTAAGATCAGTGGCCCCCACTCCAACCCCCCCTGAGTGCGACAGCTCACTTCCATGCACCAGGTTCTTTTTACTATCTTGGTGGAGAAGCCACAGAACCTCCTTCCCACCCCTTTCAACTGGAGAGCTCCTGTTCTTTCTGGGCCAAGAACTGGAATGGCTCCACCCTCCCTGGGCTACCCGGAATTTGGCTCAGGCCCCCCTGTCTTTGCAGGAACCAGGCATCCTGAGCACACTGGTCACACCTCAGAGGGAGAGTATTTGTTCTGGATTCGATACCTGTCTACAGCCCCTGAATGTGTGGCTTCAGAGCAGGGATGAAGTGACCGGGCTTAGCCTGTGGGCCGGCCAGGGTTTGTTTGTCTCTGTCCCACGGATGCTGTGACCTTCCTTCCATGGAGAGACAGGGAGAGCCACAAGGGAGGAGGGGAGCTGCAAAGCTGAAATCTAGGGCACTGTTTCCTCCCATCCTCCTCTTCCTAGACAATATAGATGTTTGTCTTGTCTGTCTTCAACCTACTTTTCTTTTTTTCCTTTTTACATTTCTCATCCTTTCTGTGCTGCCTCTCCACCCAGGAGACCATGTAGCATAGTGGAAAATGTCCTGGAGGGTATCCTGGCTCAGCCCCTAACTCACCATGTGACATTGGACTAGTCCCACCCCCCCCTTTGGGGCCTCAGTTTCCCCATTTGCAAAATGAGCAGGATATACCAGATGCTCTCCAGGGTCTTTTCCGGGTCTGCTGTCCCACAGATCTTCATTTTCTCCTGTTTTGCTTTCTTGGGATCTTTTCCGTCTGAGGGGACAGGAAGTGCCAGGACCTGTTTCAGTGTGTGAATCCTGCAAGCACATTCCAAGACTGGCCTGCAATTGCATGAGCAACATCACTCTAAAGGATTTTTTTTTTTTTCTCAAAAGCACTTGCCAACCGACTGCGATGCTGTCCTGTTCCTTTTTACTCATACCCCTCCCCCCCGTCCCCTGCTCCCCCACCTCAGTGCTCTGTGCTGTATGCGTGTGCTCTCTGTTCTTGTATACTCAATAAAAGTGAAATAAATGTGTTTGATGCTGAACCACAAACTGCCTTGGCATCTCTGCTCTCTCTCTCTCTGACCTTAGCTACCAGTACAAGTTGGCATTGTGGGAAGGGCTAAAACTGGGGTAGAAGAAATCCCACCCTTGAATACTTTCATTCAACACATATTTGTGGCTTCCAGTGTGGTCCATGACTTGGGTTAGGCTCTGCAGGCGCAGCAGCAAATAAGACAAAGTTCCTGCCCTCCAGGACCTCTTGGGCTGGTAGAGCACAGGAAACAGTACAACAGGCAAGCAGCCAGAGACAATTCCAGAGTGATCAGCACCAGGAAGGAAATGCACAGAGGCAGGTAGTGGCTGCTGAAGGAGACCACTTCAATAAGGTGGCCAGTTATGACCTCCCTGAGGAGGAGCTGACTGAATGAAGAGAAAGAGCCAGTAAGGTGAGGGACCTGGGCAAGAATATTCTAGGCAGAAGGAACAGTAAGATGTGGGCCCCAGGATACAGAGGGGCCTGCTGTATGGAGGAACAGCATGATCCCTCCTCTTTCTGAAAGAAGAACACTTACATTGGGGTCTCTTCCTATAACCCTCTCTATGGGAGCCTAGTGGATAATGTATAGAGCAACCCCCAGCTTCAACTTTTGTCCACCACCAGATACATTGCCATATCCCTGTATGTGCCACCTGTCCCATTAGTGACTTAGTTATTCAAACGAACTCTGTAAATTATATATATATGTATATATGTATATACATATATATACATGAAACGATACTACTTCCATAAATCAAAACTAGTGTCACTTGCCAAGGAAAGGAGGTCTTCATAAAAATAAGTGCAAAGATATAAAATTAAAAACCCATAATCCATGTAAAACTTACTCCTTGGGCTCCCTGAGTTGCATGTACCACACTTTCCTTGCTATTCTACTAAGTGACTCACCTTTCTATATTGCCCCAAATCTCACAAGTGAGAACCACTGCAAATAATTGGGTACATTTTCTTCCACTCTTTTCCCAGATACGTATATCTCTTCAGAGCTTAAGTTATCCGGTACATACCATTCTAAATACTATTTTAAACTTAAATTCTGAGCATTTCCTGGTAATTTTGAATACCAAATACTATTTTTTTCTTTCTAAAGGTAATTCACTAAATGACACAAAATGCTGTGCAGTGAAGGCAATTCTTCAACCCTCTCCAGACTCCTGTCCATTGTCAGAGGCAGTTGCTTTCAGGAGCTTTGTGAATCCTTCCCTGAATTTTTTCCTGTACGTTTCTTTTAGTTATCTGTCACCCATGGAGTTCTGGAATAGGACACGGTTTGCAAATATTGGGTCCCCACACACTCTGGATCTGTGTCTTTATCTCCCAGAAATACAGGGTCAGCCTCTGTGTTGCTTGGGAATAACCTGGGGTTGATTAATCTAGATTAGTGGTTCTCAAATGGAGGGGAGGGGAGTGATTTTGCCCTCCGCCAGGGAACATTTAGCAATGTCGGAAGACATTTTTGGTTATTACAACTGAGGGGGACTACTGGCATTTAGTAGGTAGAGGCTAGGGATGCTGCTAAACATCCTATAATCACAGGACAGCTCCCACAACAAATCTGGTCTGATTTGTCAGCAGTATCAGAGTTGAAAACCTGATCTGGATGGACATGTGACCCATAAGGTGGCATTCCAGGGCCCCCATCTGTAGCTTCCAAGCCCATAATTTAGTGCTGGAGTCTCTGAGAAGATGGTGAGCCCAGCTGGTACAGGGAGCTCTCAGATCAGACCACGGAGCTCAGCACCCAACACTGGGAATAAGGAGGGTCAGGGAGGAAGCTGAGCTTCTTCAGGCAGGAAATTGAACTGACATGATGGGCTGAGTGTGACATGCGTGACTGTGACTTGATGGAGGCCATCTCTGGTTAATCCAGCAGCAGCTTATTGTGATTAGCCATGACTGCAGGGCCTAGTCTAGTCTGCAACCCACCAAGAGATGAGTTTTGACTGAGACAGATTGGTGTGTCCACCTGTGTGTGTCCACCTGTCACTGAGGAAGTGTGACAGACAAGCTAAGGAGCAGCAGCACAGGGACAAGAATAGCCAGTCAGGCCTTGGTTTGCATCCTAGCTCTGCCACTCTCCAGCTGTGTAACCTCTCTGAGCCTCGATTTTCTCTTCTGTAAGCTGGGAATACTAATATCTACTTACTAGGGTTAGTGTAAGGCTTAGAACTTATATATGAATGGCCTGCCCTATGGATTTTGGACTTACCTAGCCAGTCCTCACAATCATAAGCCAGTTCTTTTCAATAAACCTCTTAATATATGTCTCCTATTGATTCTGCTTCTTTGGGTGAACCCTGACTGATACAACCATGCAGCACAGAGCAAGACCCCCAAATAGAAGCCGTTTATTAATGCAGTCATTAATTAAACTTGTGATAAATACACACACCCAGCTGAGCCCTTGTGTCTGCCTTCCTGCTGGGTTCCAAGGAAACAATAGAGAACCAGACAGATAAATTCCCTCCCTCATGGCACGTTTGTAGCCTGCACCGCCTGAGGACACGGGATGATTATGGCCACAGGGACCCATGTGGTGGCTACTGGGGCTGAGACTGGTTCTTCTCCGTCCTGCGGGCTGGGTTTCTGACAATCTCCTCTAGGACTGATTGTGGTTGGAAGCTGCGACTGGGTGGTGATACTCAGGTCGAAACTGGCTGACTGGGACCATTACTGATCATCTGATGTGGCTACTAGGCATCCATGATCTTGACCCCAGCTTCAGCGA